GGGGGGGGGGCAGCCGGCGCCAGGGCGGTTTGCCTACGGCCGGCTGGGCCTCTATGAGCCCCACATGGATGAGCTGGGGGGCTGTCAACGCCGTCTCAATGCCAGCACGCACACGCGCGCGCACACACACACACACACACACACATGTGCGTATCGGGTTCGCTCGCAGAAAGGACAGTGCGGGCTGTCAGTGGGAGTAAGAGGGAGAAGAAGAGAGAAAAAGAAAAACACACACGCACACACACGAACACGGCAGGATTATCCCTGGCGGTGGACTCGTTATTCAGACAAAAAGAGTGAGTGTATGTGTGTGAGTGTGTGAAAGAGAGAGAGAGACAAAAAAAAGTGCAACCCATAGCAGCAGCGGTGCTGTCAAAAACGCCGGCACTCGCATCAGGCCGGCGTCCCTTTATCTTTTCCCTTGCCGGTATTTTTTTCGTTTTTCCCTCTCTTTTCTCTCTCGTTCTTTCTCTTTATCCGAGCTCGCCAACGCCATCACCACCGTGCTTGTGATCATACCACATGCACCTCCCCGTCTCCTCGAATATATACTCATATCCTACTACATAACAGAATATAAAGGCACGGTCTAACGAACATAATAAATGTACTCGCAGCCCAAAACAAACACACACATACACAGTTACAACACAGACACAAAACGGCGGCCGTGGGTCAAGCATGATCCATTCTCTTTGCCATCTTGCGTTTGTGTCCTGCGTGTAACGCTCTGGCCCGGCCCGGTTCGCAGGTGTGCAAGGTGGTGCAGGATGTGCTCAAGGAGGTGGAGGTGCAGGAGCCGCGCTTCATCTCCTCGCTCACCGAGTGCAACGGCCGCTACGAGGGGCTGGACGTCGTCTCGCCCGGCGAGTTCGAGGTGGTGCTCTACCTCAACCAAATGGGTGCGTTCAAAACTGTTCCAAACGGGAAGCAAAAGGCCCGCCTGATTCCCGATTTGGTTCGTCTTTCTTATTTTTACACTTATGATTTTATTATTTTTTGTTGCTACTTATTATTTGTGTGCCATTTGCTTTCACCTCTACGTTACTTTCGTGCGGCTCCTTCCGCCATTTGTCGCTCTGTTTGGTCCGCGTTGGTCCCCTTATCAGCCGGCCTGTGGCGTCCCATGGCGGCCCGCTCCATTACCATACGGACGCAGGCGTGCGTGACGTTCATGAAACCCGTCCTCCTGCCCGACCCGCCAGGCCCGATACCCGAGCAAAAGCGAAAAAAAAGAGACAGACAGCAAAAAGAAAAACGCGCCAAAAATAAGAGACGACAAAAATACAACAACTTGCAGAGCAAACAGATGAAAATTGCGCGAGAATCTAATTAAAAGATATGATGATGATGCGTTTTCCTAATAAACTCACAGCGTCGCCAAAACGGAATTAAATAGCTTTTCTCTCTCTCTCCCTTGTGATCCAAGCAGGAGTGTTCAACTTCGTGGACGACGGTTCCCTCCCCGGGTGCGCCGTCCTCAAGCTGTCCGACGGCCGCAAGCGGTCCATGTCCCTGTGGGTCGAGTTCATCACCGCCTCGGGTTACCTGTCGGCCCGGAAGATCCGCTCCCGGTTCCAGACTCTGGTCGCCCAGGCGTGTGACAAATGCGCCTACAGGGACTCCGTCAAGATGATAGCGGACACGACGGAGGTGAGCAGCGCGTCCCAGCCGTTCAAGTCTCCCCTGCTCTCTCACTCACTCGCTCGCTCCCGTCTCTAACGCCCTTTGTGCCCTTGTCTCTTCCCCCAGGTCAAGCTGCGCATCCGGGAGAGGTACATCGTGCAGATCACGCCGGCCTTCAAGTGCAGCGGGGTGTGGCCGCGCTCGGCGGCGCACTGGCCCATCCCGCACATCCCCTGGCCGCACCCCAACCTGGTGGCCGAGGTCAAGACGGAGGGCTTCGACCTGCTGAGCAAGGAGTCGGTGGCGATGCAGGGCAAGCAGTCCGCCATGGAGGGCGACGCGTGGGTGCTGTCCTTCACGGACGCCGAGATGCGCCTGCTGCAGGGCGGCTGCCGGCGCCGCTGCCTGTCGCTGCTCAAGACGCTGCGCGACCGCCACCTCGACCTGCCGGGCAACCCCGTCACCAGCTACCACATGAAGACCCTGCTGCTGTACGAGTGCGAGAAGCACCCGCGCGAGCTCGAGTGGGACGAGGCGTGCCTCGGCGACCGCATCAACGGCATCCTGCTGCAGCTCATCTCGTGCCTGCAGTGCCGCCGCTGCCCGCACTACTTCCTGCCCAACCTGGACCTGTTCAAGGGCAAGTCCCCCAGCGCGCTGGAGAACGCCGCCAAGCAGGTGTGGCGCCTGACGCGGGAGCTGCTCACCAACAGCCGGTCCCTGGAGAAGCTGTAAGCGCCCGGCGTTCAAGTTCCCTGGAGTGGCCGCGGTTTCTCCAGGACCCCGCGATTGGGGTCCTGGAGTCACCG